TATCTTGTCTGTCTAATGTGGACCAAAGCCTTGTGGCACACCTTGCTGGTTACCCCCAGTGGTTACCCTGGCACAGAGGAAGAAAGGGAGTCCTGGGAGGGAGAACTTCCCTGGGAGTTCTGAGCTGGCAATTTGGGTGCAGTTGTGTGACACAGGTTCGGTTGGCTACCAGCCTGGGCTCTGCTGTTGTCATCATAAAGTTGTGTGTGCGTGTGTGTGTGTGTACACAGTTGTTTGCAATGTCAGCATGGGTGTCCTTGTTTGTTAGAGATACTTATATGCCACCAATCCCATGGTAAGGAAAATCTCAAGTCCTCCCCATGATTTCTGCCAGTTTCCAGGGACTCATGCTCCTGGCAGCCTGTGTGTCCCCAACTCCTGTGTCCTTTAGGGACCTCTGTTGAGCCCTGCCTCTATTCTGGCAGAATTAGATACAATTCACATTAAGAAAGATAATTTAAAAAAAATCTCACAGCATGAGTTTTGATGAGATTTGGGGCCACAATCTTGGGTTGTATGGCACCTCCTCCTCTTCTTCCTCTGTTGTCTCTGCAGCTCAGAAACCCCAATTTCCTGGTCTGTTATGTGGAGGAGCTCAGCTCAGCCCCCACAGCTTCATCTCCAAACCTAGCAAGCTGCCTAGATCAGGGGCTCTTCCTTTTAGTAGAACTAATTTGCTCTCCTTAGAAAGCAGTGGGAGTGAAATGATTCTTTTTCCTGATGGAGATTTGTGAAACCGGGACCATACGACACATATTTTAAACGTGCCTTCCCCTTACCATTGAACACATCACGAGCACGCTGTATGCCAACACACTGCTCACCATCAATTCTAGTGGCTGTATTACATTTTATCCTACAGATGTGCTCTTGTTTGCCATCTAAACCCCTTTTATTGAACACATCAGTTATTCTGAACTTTTCAGTGTGATGATGGATGTTGCAGTAATTATTCTAATACACGCACAGAACCCCCAGAGGACATGACTGCTGAAGGGTGTGCTGGTAGGATCACAAGTGAGGATCTAGCAGACTGTCCCAGCTTCATGGCCTGAGCTCTCATCCTGTTTGCACTACTTTGAACTGCCACTTTGATCATATAATAATGATCTAGGAGAGTGCTTTTTTGGTTCAACCTACCTTTTCTTGTATCAGAACGGGAATGTTTAATTTTATAAATTTGCGTAGTGGCACAATATAGAATTCACCATTCCTTAATATTATCAAGGCTGTTTCTCATCTGTTCATTCTTTTGGTTAACTTGGGAATCATTTTATCAAGTCTCTCTCTACTTCCCGATTTCCTTTCAGTTTTGGCCTGAAATGATATTCAATGTATACATGAACTTGAGTCACATTTGGCTGCCTAATACTTATTGAGTTACATTTTGAGTATTATGTATTACTCATAATACATATTGAGTTACATTTTGAGTATTATGTATTACTCATAATACATATTGAGTTACGTTTTGCTGCATAATACATTACCCCAAAGTTTAACACCTCAAAGCAGCACATACATATCTCATACCCTTCTGAGGGTCAGGAATCTAGGAGCAGCTTAGCTGGGTGACTGTGGCTCCGAGTCTCTCACGAGGCTGCAGTGAAACTGCTGGCCAGGGCTGGAGGATCCCTTCCAACCTCACTCCATGACTGTTGGTGGTGGGAGGCTTCAGTTCTCCACATGGCTCCCTCAATGTAATTTCCCCCAGAGTGAGTTATCAGAGAGAATGTGCAACCAGTAATTTATCTGTTAGCACATGTCATTTCTGGCATATTCGATTGGTCACTCAGACCAACTCTAATATATGCGAGAGTGACTGTGCAACGGTGTGGGTTCCAGGAGGCGAGCATCATTGGAGCCATCCTGGAGACTGGCTAACGCACAGATGACTGGTACATTTTATAATATGGGGTCTTTTTGAGTGTCACTGTGGTGTGTTCCTCTATGAACTTAATTCTGTTAAACTTAATTAAATTCTAGGTATGCTCTCAGCAAAGATTTTTACTTTCTTCAATACAGGCCCCCACACTGTTACATTCATTCCAAGTGTTTCATATGTCTTATTCCTATTACGAAAGGATTTTCTTTTCACATGGTATTTTCTAAGTAGTCGTTGCACTCATATAGGAGATGCTATTGATTTTGACACCCGTGATTTTACAGTGGAGACAAGGCAGAAACTACTCCAGACTCACCTGCTGTCGCCGATCCTTACATGGTGGCCGTGCCAGGCCCAACCACGCTGAGATGATGGGGCTGTCTGGCCATCCCTGGTCATATGGACTTCGGCTTTGAAAGGATTTTATGTGGAAGCAGAGTTCCTGATAGGAGTCTCCGGGACCCCCATTTCTGCCCTCCTTGGCTCCCGCTGGCAAGGCTGGCTCAGTCCCTATCACCTTCTCCTGGACTTCGGCCAGAGTCCACTGGCTGTTCCCCCTGCCTCCTGCTCTCCCAGTGCCCTCTCCACACTAGTGCCAGAGCTGCTCCTAAGAGATCCCTGAAAGCCCTCCTCAGCTTAGGAACCCCAGAGGACATGGATGGTTTCTCCATTGCCAGTTCCCAGTCTTCCTGCCATACGGAGGCCTGGTTTGCCTGCAGTTCCCTCTCTGGGGTGAGTCCCTGCTCCACAGATGCTGAGCCCCCAGAATTTTGTTCTTTTAGATCACATTTTAAAACTTTTGAAATGCATTATAGTTCAGTCATCTGAATTATGTAAGTATATCCTACTCGTTGTGTAAAACAACACAGAGTTGTCCAAAGTCTTATTTCCCCCCATTTCAAGAAGCTAAGAAGCAATGCTAAATAATTAGATGTGTGATCTTCCATATTTTTCCCTTTGTCTCCACAGAAGTAATTGAACATATAGAATTTTGAAAAATGGATTACCCTGTGCAGAGTATTCTGCATGGTGTCTTTTCATTTTATCGACGGTGGCCCCTTCCCTGGCCAGTCAACCTCAGTGTGACAGAAGTAGAGCTCCACGCTGGACAACCCACTCCCACGGAGGGACATTCAGGTGCTTTCCAGTCACTTGCACAACAGCGTTGCGTGCGTGTGCCTCCCGGGCCGGGAAGAAACTGCGTTAGCTAGCAGCATTAAACATGCCACACGGGTCGGTGAAAAATGAAAGCAAAATAAAAACCAGTTGAAAGGCGGCAGAAAACCTGTGTGAATACTCCGCGGCTCTCCTGCCTGGTTTCCAGCCGCGGACTCTGCTCTTCTGTGGACACATGCTCGTGGGGTCCACGCGGACCCCGCTCACCCAGGTTGCCAAGCCGAGTGCCTCCCCGTGCGGCCGCCAGGGGGCGCCCCAAGCGGGCCGAGCGCCGCCGCCGCCGCCCAGGAGAATTGACTGGCGCGAGGGCGCCGAAGCGCGTCTTTCCAGAAACCGGACCCTGCTCGCTCCCGGGCTGCCATCCGCGGCTGGGTCACGCTCACGCCCCCGCGATTCGGTGTGTCTTCGCCTCCCGCCCCACTTACCTGGGAGTGCCAGGGAGCGCCCCGCCCCCAGCGCGATCCCCTGGGTCGCACCAAGTGGGCGCTAGCGGGGGGTCATTCTGGGCCGGCCGCCTCCCACCCTCCCCAGGGTCCCCCAGGGCGGCGCCATCGCCATGCGCGCCCGCCTCCAGCCGGCCCGTTGCAGCTGCTTTCTACAGCGTTGTCTCTGCCCCATGCCCTCTTGTGGTCGTAGGATCCGGCGGCCCGGGAAAGAAAGAAGCTGCCACAGGAGCCCTGCCACCCCGGGGGCCTTCCTCCCCTTATCTCCTCTCTGGATTCGAGGGTCCCCCACCAGCCTCGGTGAGGGCAAGAAAGAGAATAGCTGAATGGAGACTGGGGAGGACCCCCAGGACTCAGAAAGTGAGGGGAGTCGGTGCAAGGCCTGAGGCGGGAGATGGCGGGCAGATGGGAGTCCGGGACCACATCTCTGCAGGGGACAGGCAAGTCCTGTGCAGGCGCCAGGAAGGTCTGGGTCACACTGGGACCAGCCAGCTGGACCTGAGTGCGACGCCCGACTCCCCTCCTGTGACCTGGACATTGTCCAGCTAAGCAGGAGCTTCGACCCTGTGGGCTTACAGCTCATCTGAACCTGCTTCCTCCCTCTTCCTGTCGTGTTAATCTTGCCGAGGGGCAAAAGCCCGACTCTCCACCCCACTTCCATCACTCTTGGGTACCCGATCCACCGTCCATCCTCATGGGCAGGGAAGGAGACAGGAAGGTCACCAATCCAACCAAGCCACAGTGCCAAATCCTGCTGGTTCATTTGTTTTCCCCAGTCGGGTTATGTTTTCAAACCATGAACAGATTCATAGTTGCTAGTGAATGTCAAATTTCAAAACGAGGGAGTCCTGATAGGGTGACTTGTCCATTAGGTAGCCACAGGCAAGCCATTTACTTTCTCTGAGCTTCAATATCCTTGTCCCAATAAAAGGCATCTGTGATTAGCTCTGAACACATATTTAGGGTGAACTTTTGCCCTAAATATGAGCAGGTGGGTTTCCTTCTGGCGGAAGGCAACATCCTGCCCTTCCAGTGTGCTTCTGATCAGGGCACAGAGAAGAGCCAGGTTCATCTTCTTTCTTTTTGGTCAACTGCAGACATCTGCAACAAACAAGAAGATTAACAACAACCATTAAAATTGGCCCCTAGGGGGTTTATCTGTCAGGACACGCATGGCTGTAGGATCTCATTATAGGCCACATGGAAAGGATGTCTGCTTCCTTTCTGTCCTGCAATTCCACGATAAAATCCCCTCCAGTTGTCTCTACTGATTCCATCTTGTTTTCTTTCTTGGCTATGATACAGATAGGAGGAAAAATCTTTCTTCTCCCGAGGCAAAGTTTTAAACACATCACCTCAGAATGCCAAATGTTCTGGAAAAGGAGAAAGAAAAGAAGAAAATTGGCAATGAAGGAGCCAGCAGAGAGACTGGGGCTGAGGGGACTGAGGGGCTCAGCAGCTCCTGGCAGGCTCCTCTGGTCTCTGTTTGAAATTGGCTGAAAAGACATGGAATTTAGTAGGCAAAGCTGCCTCCTTCTCCTCCTCTTATCTGCAGAGGAGAGATCAGTTCCCAGCTGGCCGGGACAGTGTCATCGATACAGCTGGTGTCATTGTTACCTTCCACTAACAGATCACTCGACACCTACTGGCCCAGGCAGGGTTGGGACTGGGTATTGCCTGGCTGAGCTGGACGCTTGGGCTCTTCTCATTGTCCCAGAACCCCAGGTGAGGCCAAGACATGAGCTCTGCTGGGATGCTGCGCTTAGTGACCCAGCAAAAGGACTAGATTGCTCCTGGTGGCTGCTCCACCTTGCAGAGTCCCAGCTGCCCCTTTGGTTCCTGTTGTCTGGCCTCTTTAGCTGTCCTGGGTAGAGGAGATGAGTCTGTTGCTGGCTGCGAGCTGAGGCCAACTGAAGATGCTGCATAGAGAAGGGACACTGAGAGTGGTCCCGGATTGAGTGGAGAGCTGCCCTTCAGTCATTCTGCCTGGTCCTGCTTCTTCGGCTGGCTGCCCTTCCGGTGTGTGCATCCCAGGCGGTATCATGCTGCAGCAGATCCTGCACGACATGTACATCGACCCTGAGCTCCTCGCTGAGCTCAGCGATGTGCAGAAGCACATCCTCTTCTACAAGATGCGGGAGGAGCAACTGAGGCGCTGGAGGGAGCGGGAGACTTGGGAGGTCCTGGCCCAGGACAAGGGTCTCAGGCCTCCAAAGACCAAGCGAGGTAAGTGGCTGGGAGTCATGGAGGGGCAGCCTGCCAGTCCCCCAGGAGGTAGAAAAATCAGCAGGGCCAGGCTGTGCTCTTCTTCAAGATGGGCACTGGGGTGATGAGGGCCGGGGGCTTGAAACCCTTGTCCTGTGGGCGTCAGGTCCCATGAGCCTGGGCTTTTGTCTTTTGACCAGGACTTCAGGGCTTCGAGGCTACTGCAGAGGTGTCCAGGGGCCCTATTGGGGTGGGGGAGTTGGGACTTACTTTGTCTTGTTGTGGAAAGCCCTTTGAAGTTTTCAATCCAGGACAAAATCCTGTTTCAGAGCTGAGCACACAGGCCCCTTGGTGATGTGGCCCTTCTCCATGCCAGGCTCACTGCTGGCCAGTCCCCACCAGGTGCCACAGGCCACACTTGCACCATCTGGACATGCTTGCTCTTGCCTCTGGTCTTCACATGAGTGGCTCTTGCTGTTGAAAATGTCCTTTCGCCTTCATCCACCTGACATTCCATCAGGACTGGACCCTGCCCTGGAATGTTCAGGGATGCCCTTGCATAGGGCAGTGCTTGCTCCTTTGTGGCTGCCTGGTATATAGGACCCACCCCTGCCCTGGCACTTGCCACCCTGTCATTGTCATTCCTCATCTGCTTTCCTGGCTCTCTGATAGACTCAAAGGCACTGGCACATGAGGCCTTACTCCACTCTGCCTTCCTCCCCTGGGCCCAGCTCAGCGCTGGCACACAGCGTTAAATCCTTGTTTTGAACAAGACACAGCAGGACTCTTCCGGGGAGGTTGGGGCAGAGCTGTGACATGGCTGTAGGTGGCTGGTGCCAAGGTTGGGGCCCTCTGGGCTGGGCTGCGCTGGCAGCTGCATTACTAACTGGTGAAGTGACAAACCGCCTTGCCAGCCTCACCCGGCCTGAGCCCTGGGAACTCGCATTGCCTGTGTGATAACTCTTCTGGGAGGGAGACAGATGCCTAAAAATTTAACTGGAAAAATATTTATACAGAGATTTGTCACACATTGACGTCTACATTTTCATGTATAAATTATACATTAAACTCATTCAAGTTTCTGGTGCAGAAGACCCTTTCTCTAATAAGTAATTTTCTGATTTAAAAAAGTATGGAACAGCGGGGAGGCACGCCGAGGAATGTGTGTATCCCAGGTCAGGATCTTGCTCGGATCTCAGCTCTTTGCTTTGGTCCTGGTTTTTGGAACTCTCTGGGCAGGCCACTGGGGAGCCTGGGAGCCAGCCCTGCCCAGGAGCCTGCAGAGCTTTCAGCTGAGGGTCCAGGATGTACAGGATCTGCTTCATGTCCTGGGGTCATGATGAAGGATGACAACAGCTCACAAGCTTTATGTTGACTGGGTGCCTACCCAGCCCTTGCGGCTCCTGCAGGGTGGCAGGGCCACCTTTCAGATAAGGAAGGTGAGGCTCAGAGAAGTGACATGCTACATCCAAGGTCACCCTGCTGCTACATCTCATAACTTGGATCTGGGGTCTGGTGACTGATTTTTTTTTTTTTCCATTCATTCACTTCCAAACTCAGGAGGACTCCAATTAAACAAGCGATCTGTGCACCCATTCATTTGTCCACTCATTCACTAATCCATTCACTTTCCAGCATTATTATGTGCCGGCTTTGGTGATTGGGACAGTGCTTGTCCTGGAGACAGTGGGTAGACGGACCATAGGGAGCACAGCTCACTTGAGTGCTAAGGGTGAGGCTTGGTGCAAAGCAGCCGTGCTGTGTCCCAGGACGGGGAGTGTGCAGGGATCCCCCCACGGAGGGATCTTCTTTTCCTTCCCTTGATGTTGCCAGAGGACTCAGGAGGTTCTCCAGATGCTGGTGAGACCCCAGCCCCAGCTGGTGTCCAGGCTCTTGACACTGTCTTGAGAAAGAACTTGAAAATGGGTCAGGATGTTACAAAAGGCAAGAAACTGTTAGTGAGACGTGAAAGTATACACTTGAGGGAGAAGAGCGGGCGTGCTCGTCAGAACGTGTCATTCCCCGCAGAGTCTGGGTTTCTAATTTTATGGGTGTTTCTTTAATTAGGGGATGGAATAATTATGAGGCATTCTGGAAGAAAAGATTTCAGGGAGCCCCCTGGGTTACTGTCCCCTTTCTTCCTTCTTTGGGTTTGCCCGGAAGAGCTATGGACAAGTCACCCTGAATGGGATTTCGGCTGTTTTTGCTCTCTTCCTTTGGGTTTTCTTTTACGTTGTTGTTTCTTTGCCTTGTTCTTGTTTTAGCTGTCGTTTGGGGTTTTCCATGCTCCCGTGACCACCCAGTGCTATTCCTGTCTCACTGACAGGCATCCTCTTTCCTGGTCCCCTCCCCACGCATGTGTTCTGAAGGAAGCACCTGCTGTGCCTCTGCTGAGCTGTGTGCCAGCCCCTTGGGATCCCCTGAGCACGACTTGGCTCAGTCCTGGTCAGCCTAGAGTGACACTGGGTCTCCTCCGGGCCCTCGTCCCCAGTCCTGCCTGTGCTCTAAAGCCTCCCCTCTCCCTTCTTTCCTGGGAACATTCCTCACTCCTGGCAGGCCTGGCTTTGCCATCCCTTGGACTCAAGTTACACTCTCTGTGGCCCTACAGACAGGCAGGCAGGACAAGGTGGCTGTGGAGTTGTGCCTGGTGAGAGTGCAAGTAAACACTGGTGATGTGGATCATTCTCATTTACAGAACCTAGGAGGTTTTCTTGACTCTGGGACCCACATTTGGAACCCACAGAAGTAAGCTGGGGTGAAAGCTTAGAGGTAGACTGTGAAAGGTTGGAAGGAGAGGACGTGGGGGCACGCTGGACACACCACTCCTCTGAGCATGTGGCATTTCTATTTTTTTCTTCTGTTTTCTTTTTTTTTTTTTTTTGAGTCTGAGTCTTGCTCTGTTGCCAGGCTGGAGTGCAGTGGCGCCATCTTGGCTCACTGCAACCTCTGCCTCCCGGGTTCAAGCGATTCTCCTGCCTCAGCCTTCTGAGTAGATGGGAGTACAGGCACACACCACCACACCCAGCTAATTTTTGTATTTTTAGTAGAGACGGGGTTTCACTGTGTTGGCTAGGATTGTCTCGATCTCCTGACCTCAGGTGATCCGCCCTCCTCGGCCTCCCAAAATGCTGGGATTATAGGCACGAGCCACCATGCCCGGCCCAGGGCATTTCTTTTTTTGTTTTCACTTAATGCTTTGGCAAGAACCTGCTGACGTTCTATGCTGTTGTGGATGGTGTGGAGCCCTCTGCTTGGTAGTTTTCTCATCTAACATCGTGTTTACTGTTCCATCACCTTTCTGACACTTTGTTGTCCGGTATATTGAGTATATGGAGACTCAGAGAAGGCGTGTTATCACATTATGTCTCAGCAAGACTTAAGTCAAACCCCTGTAGCATGGCCACGGCCTGTGCAATCTCATCCCCTCTTCATTCTCCTTGGCCACCACAGGAATGCACACCCTGTGTTAGGAATTATGAACTTCGCAACCTTGTGGGCTCCTCTGTGCCTACTCGGTTATTCCAGGTTCTCAGGGCCAGAGTTGGGTGTGACCTAGGGACACAGGACTCAGAACACATGTCCACACTGGTGACCCAGGAAACTTCCCTGTTTGGACCTGTTAGTTCTTCAGTTCTATTTTTATTTTATTTTATTTTATTTGAGATGGAGTCTCACTCTGTTGCCCAGATTGGAGTGCGGTGGTGTGATCTCGGCTCACTGCTACCACTGCCTCCTGGGTTCAAGCGATTCTCCTGTCTTAGCCTCCCAAGTAGCTGAGATTACAGACATCCACACCATGCCCAGCTAATTTTTGTATTTAATAGAGACATGGTTTCGTCATGTTGGCCAGGCTGGTTTTGAACTCTTAACCTCAGGTGATCTGTCCACCTCAGCCTCCCAAAGTGCTGGGATTATAGGCATGAGCCACTGTGCCTGGCCCCGTCAGTTTTATCTTGATTGACAGTTTCTGCCACTGTTAAATTGGTTCCTCTGTGACCATCTCTTCATCTGTCTGGATGCTTTTGCCTGAGAGCCAGACGTCGTTCCCTCCTGCTCTTCCCACTCTCCTGTTTGTGAATCCAGCCTGACCACTCAGGAAGCTGCTGCTTTCCTTTGGGTTTCCTACCAGGCAGCCAGCCCTCCTGTGCCTGCTCACTGGCCTGCCCTCCTTCCAGCCAGTGGAGTACTCTGAGCCTAGTGGGGCCCCAGCCTCTACTGCCTCCATTCTTCATAGCGGGGCTGAGGATGTGCTCCCAGATGCAGCCCTGACCTGGGGCCCGAGGGGGTTACCCTCTTTAGCATTCGATTTCTCAGCATCAAGTCACTTTTACTGCCCTCATGGAAGCTGTGTGACACCATCTTTCTCACTAGGCATCTGGCTTTCCTGTTTCCTGGGGCCCATCCAGTCACCACAGCAACCTTGCCTGCTGGGCCTGGGCCCTCCTGACCTCAATGTGTCCTATTTCCAGGCATGGAAGTCCCGACCTTGCACGCCAGCCCTGGCTGGACCCCTGCACGGAGCCCTGCACCCGCCTGCAGACATTCCTATGGTGGCCCTGATCTCAGTGCAGCCCCTGCCCACCCTGCCTCAAGCTCATGCCTACGGTTTTTTCCTGCAGGAGCCACAGACTTTTGGACGCATGAGTTAGCTCATGCATTCCCCTGCCTCAGTGGCCTTCGTGGCACTCACAAGCCTTTGCTGGCACCTGCCCACCCCTTCAACCTAATTTCCAACATGTGCATCCCTTTGCATGGAATGCTCTTTCCTCAAATCCTCATGAGGCTCTTGGTGTCATCATTCATCTCTCAGTTGAATGCTGAGCTCTTCACTGGCCACCCACTTGCAGTGAGCCCCATCCCAGTCTCTCTTTCAACACCTGCCTACTTTTCTTCCTAGCACTTACCATGTCTGCAAGTGTCTTTAAAGATGATGGTAAAATACACATAACATGAAACTTACCATTTTAGCCATTTTAAAGTGTGTAATTCAGTGACATTTAGTACATTCAAAATGTTGTCCT